ATGCTGTCCCGACGCCGGACAATAAGTTATTCTGGCCCGCGGGCACGCGCGTTGGTCTACCGCGTGGGTTCCTTTTTTTTCCACAAGTTTCGCGCGCTACCGTCGACGGGGCGAGGAGCCCGATTGCGGTTCCCGTCGATGGGCTGGCGAATCCAATTTTCTTACCTTTGTGCGGCGGCCCCGAATTCCAGTTAGACCGGCTTTACGGATTTCGACAAGCGTCAGAGATCACGGTTGCCCGAAACGAGATTTCCACTGTTGGAGTTGTAACCGCGTAACTCTCGCGAGCTTCGCGGTGATTTAAGGGGCTCCTCACTTAACTAAAGAGGATAGTAAATTCTGGAACTTTTAGTGTTTTAGATCAATCCCGGGGTCGCCCGGTATTATCAGCGCCGGAACTTTTCGTTGTTCGCCGATGTTGAATCCGGCCGGTTCCACCTCTCCGAAAATTCTCAACATATCGTGAGCGTCGATCCGACGAAAGCGCAAACGTTACATAAAATAAAACACATTAAAAATAAAATATAACAAAGTTAAAAATCGCTCCCGCTAGAGCGGGCAGTCGCAATTTCGGCAGATATTCTATAAAATGTGATCGCGGAATATTCGGAAATTCAATGAATATCAGCGTAGAACAACTCACTTACGCGGCACAGAGACCGCGAAACACAACGTTTTCCGAGCGGTTCGTGTTAAATAATTGCGCGTGTGCGCGTTGCTAGTGTTGCGCTATTAGCCCCGATAGAAATTTACTGATACATGAACATGTCTATTACATTCTTTGACGTAGTCCCAAACGTAAAATACGAAACGCGCGGGATATTGCGAACTAATGGAATATAAAAGGGGAAGTCGCGCGTGTACGCGGTGCATCCGCGGCAAATGTTTGCTTAAAATGGAATAAATAAACAAACGGTGTGTTGATCAGCAGCTGAAACATTGAATGCATAAATCGTTAATTTGGCGAATGACTGCGTACACTCGTTCGTTCGTTCACTCGCCCGCGCGCTCAGTCGCTTGCGTGCGAGAACAACCTGCATCCATAAATGCTTCGTGAGTAATCCATCAATCAGCCGTGTGCGCTAAACAGAAAGTATATCGTGTAATCCAGTTGTTAATCGTGAACAATTTATATTAATAGACCGTCATAAGCATTAAAAGGTTTACTGGATAATATTTGCCGATAGTGCGTATCGTGCGCGCGCACGCATTGAAACACGCGATTTCAAGCGAGTGCAAAGACCGGAGTCAATCCGACGTTTCGCAAAAGTGAATCCACCGTGCGAGTATGAGCGAGCATTTTCCCGGAGGAAATCTTTCGAAGATACTTGTACGCGCGTTGTCGTCCCGCCGCGTTTGCTCTTCTGTGTGAACCTTCACCTTCTGGATCTCCCCATTCCCAATCCGTTTCTCCACCTTACTCGCGCACTTTATCTTCTCAGGCCGAAGTATCCCGCGAATTTAGTGAAATGTCTGCCTCAAGAGAGAGAGAGAGAGAGAGAAGAACGCGCGGTCGCATTCTTGCCCCGTTGAGGATTGATTCACACTATCCGTGTAGACGACGGCAAATAAACCTCCGTCAATCCTCCGTCAAAACATTATTCAATGGTTAATGTAACACGCAGGAAAATTTTGTCGAGTGATATAGCATATTTAGAACATAATTTATCAGACTTGTATTGCGTAGACTAATACATACGGTTAGCTTGCTTAACCGACCGTCTTGTGTAGGCAGATATCGAACAGAATCCACCCTAACTCGCGCACATTTGATGATCGTAACGCGGAGACGGGACAATGAGTTCGCGATTGTAGCCGGCGAATAATTCGGCGGACGAGCGGCGATCGAGACCGACCGCGTGTATAATTTGCGAAACAAAATGTGTGTGCGCTTGTCGTAACGCCGATGGATCCGCCGTATTGCTTTGACGTTTGGTTTGTGGCTCAATTTGCATGTGATAAATGCACACCGGCGCGGGCTCGCTCTACGGATGACAGGAGAGAGGGAGGGAGAGAGGAAGGGAGGGAATGTGGTCTTCGCACGAATGCAAAATCGAAACTTTGGTAACGTTTTACCTCTTGCGGTGACTTCGCCAATAATCAATGGGGCGGCCGTTCGGTGGCGACGGCAAACTTCACCGCGTATTTTACAATAGTTAAGCGCGCTTAATAGGCGAAACGCTGCAGCAACTGGTCAAGGCGAATTATCGGAAGCGGACTCTGTGGCTTATTTATAACACATAATATTGAACGAGGTGAGATATCTCGCGCGGTCTTAGGATTATAAGTAACGACGCGCGATCTGAGGCGCGCGCCCGGTTGCAAATGGTTCAGTCACTGAAGCGACACGCGGAAACCAGACTAAATATTACTCTAGCAACGTGACATAAAGTTACTAAGACGTAATTATTCACTGCTAAGTCCTTTATAATAATGACAAATGACTATTCCTTCCGCTCGCTCGCTCGCGCGAACTGTCCTCTATTTCGAGGACACATTTTCTTTCTCTCTCTCTCTCTCTCTCTCTCGCTCTCTTCATCTCTTCTAGCTGAGACAGCAGCCTAACTCCGTGTGATGTGCGATGCCTAACGATTCTTTAACTTCCTCGTTATCAAACTTTCGTACACGGGATCATAAATATTGAAGAAGAAGAAATCGTTCTGACGTGCTGCATCGGAGGACTTCATGGTCGACGAGCTCGACCTCGATTCGTCAAGGGAGATACTATTCGCGTTAAGATGCGCCGAAAAGATGCGATTAGCGCTCGTGTACCGTAGCATTTATGAAAATCCCCAAAGAAGAAAATGTAATGTCAGTCTTTGACTTAATATTCGATCTTATTGTGTCGGGAAAGCAATGAAGAGCTGATTTCCATATGGCGAAGTTTGTCTCTCTCAGTCAGTTCATGCGGTACCCATTTGTCAAACTTTTCACTTTTCCCATAACTTTGAGGTGTCAGGAAATAGTCGAATAGTGAACGCTGATGCTCTGTGCAATATCTCGAACTGATAAACGCGAATTTGCTTTAACAATGTCTTTCGGAACATTAACCACTGATGGTGCATGGTCACGAGGCAAATTGTCGAGATTTGTCATCACCCGGCATACTGCTCAATATATTGATGCAATATCCTGATAAGCATCCTGTACAATTTTTTCGTGCTTGCTTTGGATCGTTTAATTCTCTTTTTTTTAATTAAATGTTTCGTAACGTCGATTTCCATCGAGATGGAAAAGCTCAGTCGTAAATGTCGAATATCAGGAATATCAGGTGCTTATTTGTATCGTCGTTGGCGTGACGACGAGAGAAATTAATGCCGGCGGGCATCTCTCGCGAGTTTATCTCTACTTGCGCTAAGTTTGTCCGGGGCTAACGAGTCTCGTTTTTTTGCAAGCGAAGTTTCTATTCGTGCTTTAGCGCGCGGCGGCGATACAATCGATTTAAAAGTGCGGGCGTATACTTACGTCAGATAACAGCCGTTGGCGATATAACTTAGCGTGATTTACGGGCAATACGATCATATTTTTATGGCGCACCGTTCCATTAGCTTCGACGCGCATGATTTATGCAAAGTGTTCTTGGCGCTTTCGCGAGCGGAACAAGACTACTCTTGTGTGTCCACTCGCGAAAGTCGACCGCGTATAAATATGCCACCTTTGCGCCCGCATATAAAATCGAGAGAGACGAATAGCGCGACTCGTCGCCTCGATCGGCGGCTGATGATTGCATGGGGATTACCAGGTGACTACCGGCAGGACGATGGAATCGATAAAAAACGCGGAGAATTTTTGTTGAACAATATAGCATATATAGTGCATATATAGTGCATATATAGCATATATAGCAAGAATAGTGTAATTTACTAGACGTGGCTGAAATATATTCATACTGAAGTAAAAATGTCTATATAACAACAATAAAGAAATAGGTTGAACATATATATTATTTAATCTGATTATATATACTTACCGTACGTAAAGGAATGTGAGATAAGACAGGGATGCTAAGAGGAAGGCTTAATAAAAGCGAGACAATCTTAATTGAGATATTTATTAAAAAATAAACTCTGTAATCCACTAAGAAATTAAGAAATATTCGGCCATCGAGAGTAAAGCACGGGTCTTATTTATGGTACATGTAAATTTAAAATTTTCACGTGAAATAATCGTAGAGAATCTCTGCCTTTTTTGTCCGATCTTTATGTTACTAAGGATGCGTGGTTGCCCATTTTTAATACAATATAAAGAGAGGAAGAATAACGGGGCTACGCGGTAACACAGACTTACGCTACCACCGCTTTCGTTATGCGCATAACTTCGTTATTTTTCCTCTCCTTATATTGTATTAAAAAAGGGTGACCAGTCCGCGTATCTTTCTGTAAGAAAAAAGTATTACCGTTTATGATAAATTGGCCAGTAATAAATTATTGTTGCTCAGTAATTTTATTATTCATACGAGTAACCACTTCTTTTTTTCCTATAATTATAAAACTTCAACACAATGAAAAATTTAACAGCGCCAATAATACGACCGATCGCGCTTGCGAACAGAAACTGTCACTTCAGTTCCAATTACTGTATACAGTAGACGAAGTTCATTGTTCTGTCCGACAGAGTTCAGTACTTTACAGCCGAGAAACATGATGTGTCAGTTTTTACGGTGCTTTTCTTCTACTGATAATACCCTTCTAAAGAGAATCGATTATTCACAACCATCATTTTGCGTGGCCTTTATTGGCTCGAAAAATTTCCATCTGATTGAGGCTATCTGAAGAGCCTTCATTCTTATTCATTTCGTTTTCTCTTTGGCAATTATTATCAGGAAAATCTCTTTGTTACTATTACACGTCTTACAACGCCTCGTTATTATCAGACCGACGTAATGAAGAGTTACCCGTCGGAAATAGCGGTGGTTATTTGCGCTCGTCCGTTGTAAACGTGAAAATACCCACTCGGGACGGAATTTCTATATCGCGCGTCGTCGCCTTTCTCGTTTCTAGGTATCCTGGGTGCGTAGGCGGGGTGAGGAGCTCCATTTACTCACCATCGGCCTGGACACGTACGCGAGCGACTCCAGATTCTCTCTAGCCTTTGAGAAACCTAATGACTGGCGATTGCTTCTGCGCTCCGCCACGGAACGCGACGCCGGCCTTTACGAGTGTCAAGTCAGCGCCCACCCGCCATTAATCAGGACTGTCCATCTAGCGGTGTCAGGTGAGTGAGCGCGTCATTGCGTGTGTGTTCATCTGACCGTTCCCGCTTGGCAGCCTCGAAGCAATCAAGAGCCGCTATTTCCCGCCGCTACTAACGATATGCACTTTGATCTGATGACCGCAGCGCGACCCGTAAATCAACGCGCCCACATAGTGGTACGATATGTCGGGGACAATCGCCGGATATCGGCCACCACCGCCGGATATCGGGATCGAAACGACTCCAAGAAAAGCCCGCTTGCGCTATTAAATAGTCTTCGAGTGTTCGTGAGCGATCGGAACGGATTCGCACGACTTTCGCGAGTTGAACTTCCGGAATGCAAATAGATAACACGATCCCGCTCCTTAATTAATTTCCAAGCGCACACTTCGCCTCAGTTGGGGAAGATACTTGGAGGGGCTCGAGCGATTTTTGCCGAAGAGCGAAGATCCATTTTAAATTAGCCGAACACTTTGTAAGAGTGAAAGGTGGGATGGGGGGGGCCTAGGCGCGCTCCGTGCTGCAGGTTTGAAGCAGCTTCTTGTTCTCTTTGATATAATCACTTGGGGCGCTTGTTACGGAATATATTGCGAAGTTCGTAGTCGTCGTATTAGGCGAATGAGGCTAATTTTACCGAAGGCAACGACGACAAAAGCCAAGTGCATTATACTCTTAATCCACTACTGTGAAGTACCTCTGGAAAGTTGTTCTCCGTAGATACATAATCCATGTGTCCCGTGGCGCGTTTTCGTTGGACCATAAATCACAGAAGCTCACGTCGTTAGGGTCGTCCTCTTTGCGGCATAATGGCGATCTCGATGCTGTAACGATGTCCTCGTGGCGCCCACGTCCCACGCCACTTAATTGGAATCCCGTCTCTTACTCGTATCCTCCCCCTCCTCCTCTTCTCCTCCTTCTCCACCCCGCGGTCGCTATCTCCCTTCCACGTCTCCGTTCATCTTTCGTCATCGATAACGCATCCCGAATCGAAATTTTGCCTCCACATTAACCCTGAAAATTCCGTCGGATTTAAGGAATCAGTGGAGAATCTTGAGGTCTAACTGTACAAGCTATTTTCCTATTCTGGATGTTACGGATGGTTACTCACAATGCCATGTTGAATAGTTCTTGAAAGAAGGACTCATTTTAGGATTATTCAATATTCGGTTATCTCAATATTTTTTCTCCATTATTCTGCCATGACACTCCCGATAATAATTCGTGCCACTGATATTCGTGTAAATATAACTTAATCTGCAAAAACATATTTTAATTAACGTGATGTCACCGAGAGTCTGATTAAATCTTTTTTAAGAGTCAACAAAATATATTTTACATAAAATATGGTATAATATTCGGTAATAAGAATATACGAATCACGTCGACAATATCAAAACAACAGGCAAGAAATGCAAGCTTATTCCCCTCCCATTAATTGTCAAGCGGTGTCACTCCACACCGAGAATATCGAATGATCATAACAATCAAAACAGTCTGGACCTTCAGGGAAGTTGAGCGTATTCTCGCGCGTCGCATGCAAGTGTTTCTATTATGTTTCCCATTGGCGAATTATATACACCACGGAGCATGTTGTATCGGTACACGGAGAAAACTAATTCAGAGGGACAGAAAATCCTATACTATCGTAGCGAATAAATATATATACAGGGTGTTTCTTAAGTACCATTTAATATTTTAGGAACTAGTTTTTGAGAATATTTTATGAAGAAATAAACATGTGATAATATGAGCTTTTCTTCGTGACTTAAAAAATTAACTCTTAAAATATTGGACAATATTAAAAAAAAAACACCCTGTATATTCATTTATTCAGTAAGCTAGCGTAAATTTCCAGTTTCTCTAAATTTCTCCCGTGAGTGTTACTTATCATTCACGTCGATTGACTAAGATATTTCGTCGGCTCTTGCACTGAATCGAACTCTGGTCGATATCACGTTAATTAATACGCGTTTCTCTGATCAAATCATACTTGCGCGAGTGTCAGTGTCAGTGTCACAAGAAGGAAGACGCAAAAGTTCCTCTACAACGTGTTTGGTTCGTCCACGTCAATTAAATTCAAACAAACTGTTTTGTCCGTGCAAATAGCCATTTGTAGCATCAAAGTAAAACAATACTCCGTATAATGTTATATCTCGAGATTCTCTATTGATCGTTCAGGTTCAACGGAACTGAACAGGATCGATGCGGAAGCAAAATTTCGACTCGGGGTGTCAATCCACGCGGACGAGGGCTTACGAGGACCCGGCCGAACCCACATGTCAACAGAACAGAACGTTAACAGAATGGGCAAAGCCGTGGGGTCGTGATAAATGCGTGCGAGATGGTAACACCATCTTTCTTCCATTACGATGCACAAAGAGATTCTGCGATTCGACGATCGAGTCTATCGACAGGTAGCTGGTAGTAGCACGGCAGGCTCATTAGTATCTATTATCGACGCATAACCGATGTGTACCGGATAATTCCGAGCCGACCCGGTCTCGACTAGCGATGATTGATCGATTGCGAGCGATATCGCGGTCGACAGGTATATTGGATTAATATCGGACGTAAGACTGATAGACACACTTCGCGGGTTGAACGCGCGCGCTTTCGCTCTTATGACCGAATGAACGAGCGAACGAACGGACAGGCGGACGGATGGATCTCGGTTGGACGGCATGAGCGGAATAGTTCCATCAGGATTAATGAGACCGCTCTCTCAGTCGGAAAGAGAATTCGGAACACTTGCTGCCTCGCGATTTATGTATTCGAATGTGCCCGATTATAGTTATGCGCGCAGAAAAGCGTCGAATTAATCACAGTGCCGTGAATATGAGCAGCGACGTGTGCCGTGAAGTATAAATTTACGATGACGAGGCGCGCATATCGAGAGGGCGGCCGGTGGAAAGTCATCGCGAATATCTTTTCCTTCAAGAAGACATCGGAGTCTCTCGCATTTTCATCGGCCGAGCGAATGACGAGATGGTGACCCTTAACTCGTTTCCTTTACTTCCTTCCCGAGAAAGTCATTGAAGTTTAACGGTTTCCCCACAAATTTTACGCTTCGAATATATTTATACATCGTGTCGGACGCGGATCGTTGAGAGAAGCTCGGGAATACTTTTGTGCGCTGTAATTTTCGCGCGGCCCCCGCATCTCGACCGTCGAGCGGCGGTGCGATAAAATCTTGAAATTATCGATTTGACAAATGCGACCGCTCAGACTCGTTAGATCGTATTACACCGGGGGAAGAAAACGCAGCGATAAAAAGACAAAGAGAACGCGAGGCGAAAGACGGAGAGAATGAGAGAATGAATCGCGGGGGGTAGGAAAGGAAAAAAATGAAGAAGAAGAGAAGAAGTGGAGAAAGATGGGAGAAGTGCGGTAGATGAAATCAATAAGTATGCCGATATCGAGATATTTTTCAGTCACCGTAGCTGCAATGGAGGGTTATGAAATATCTGACCGAAATACCAGCTACAGGAACGGAATAAATTCCGTGTACTGTGAAATAAACGGAATATTTTGTGGATCCAAATGGCGGAACGAACGATTGCGGCGTATTATTCTCCTATATATATATATATATATATATAGCGCGGCTCTTGTTTTAACTTATAAAGTCCGCTCGAGCGTATCATTTTTCGATAACCTCGCGGCTGAATATCGGCATACCTATCGTGACGGCGGGGATTTTTCTTATACATTAAGAATCCCTTGGTGGAAACAGCATGTAAGATCCGCACGTGCTGGACTGGATTTCATCCGTCGCGGGGTGTTGCCGGATAAGATTTCGCCGTTGTGCGAATTTGTTTACGCGCTCGCGGTATTTTCCTTTCGTATTCATACTTGTAAGAAGTACATCGATAACACAGAATTGCAAGTCACTGGATTTTTATCTGACATTTATCTCATTTTAATATTTATCTGAAATATCCCGATCCACACGGAAAATTTCTTGAAATCTATCCCTCAATGTTTTTCCACGAATTTTTTTATTTTTCGTTTCCATTATATATCGTATATTTTTATTCCGTAAGACGCGCGTGTTACGCGAGACCTCGCGATTCTACGTCGGTTTCTACGTTATGCTGTGACCTCGTCGGAAGTCTTATTATCTCGTTCCCGGGCGAACGGCGAAAACCGCGAGTAATGATTTCCTTTGAAGGCGTGCCCGCCGATGCGTTCGTTAACGTCAACCTTTTCGTTTTTCCTCTCTTTCGGCCTTTCTTCGCACGACTCACCCCTTCCATCCTTCCCTCCTCTTATTGCGTGTCGAGATTTCTATAATGACGTATAAAAGTTAGGACGGTCAGTAACATCGTTTATTATCTTGCGATGTTATTACCCTCTTCTCCTCTCCTTTTCCTCATTCTTATCCTTATCCTCTCATTAATCAAGGGATCGTCATTGTTTTATGACGAATCCACGTTACGACGTACGCCAAGGGCAACATTACTCGCCGCTGTGGGTTCTTTCAATGAACACCGCGAATCAGTCGGAAGTCGGTAGAGTGGGTGGGAGTTTATATGTGGAAATAAAGTCGCGTCGCGCGGAGCTTTAAGATATATATATATATATATCATTTTTGCTCGTCGGCCGTGTCCGGGAGCTTTATTTCTGGCAGCCGCTCAAATAGTTAGGAACTTAAATTCCGCGAGCGCGATGGCGGCTTTTTCGAGGGTAAACTGCTAGCGCGTCTGCGCTCTCTCTCTTTCTCATTCTCGTTTCATCGCCGCCAATCTACGTTGGAGTTTTGGCATCGCGAACTTTACGAGCCTGGAGCCACGTTCTAAACGGGTTTCCATAATGGTTCATCGATTGATGTCGGTACTGCTCGAAAAGAGCGCGAAATTAGTACGAGGGGGAAGATTTTCTCCCTTTATCTTCGTCGTTGTCATTATCCGTCGTTTCGGATAGTGAGCGTGTCGGATGGAATAATAGAAGCGTTATTTAAAATGAAACGGTCGAGGCAGAGACAGAGAGCGAGCGAGTGAGCGACTTTTCGACGTTTCTTC